TCCAAAACTAGCTGCATAGCAAGGGAAAATTCCTGGATTTCAGTCAAAAGTCTGTATCAGAAGCTGCTATTTCTTGTGCTCATACCTGGAGTATGCAAAACAGGCTGAATTTAACATGCTGTTTTTACATAAACAGTTCATAAAAACCCATCAAGTGCAAAAAAAAAAAAAAAAAAGCAAGAGCACTGTCAAACTGAGACAGAAATAATTTGCAGATCCAGTTTAATCAGCAAACTGCTCTGACTCACGCACAGCCTCCCTCTTGGTGACCGAAGCAGAAAAAGGAGGCTAAGGTGGGATTGCCCTCTCGATGGCAGCCTGGTTTTAGACCAACAGAAGCTGATCTTGAAACTGCGTCCTCAGTTAATATGACTACAAGGAGTAGGATTTACCTCCTGCATTTGTGTATATGCAACTATGAACTTACACTTACATAGTCATTGAAGGGCAGAGGTGGTGGGCGGGAAGCCAATTAAGGTCCTTCGTCCTACAACCAGTTTTAAGTTTTACCCAATTAGAAGCCCACGCAAGAAGGTCTAAACCTAAAATAGCAGCTTAAAAAACCCCAAACCACCAGTTTCCTTAAATCTTATACATTTTCTTTGAATATAAACTTGTCACCTTTCTGCTAGTTTAGAACACTAACAAATTTTAAAAGAAGAAAACTGCTCAATGCCTAAAAATTCAAGTCTAGGAAATACTAAGTTTATTAAAGAAGCCAAAGACAGGCAACAGATGGATACTGTTTATTGGTTCTTTCCATCGCATCTGAGTTACAGGTGTAAAAGTCACACAAACTGCAGGTATAAACATGTAAAACAATACAAAAATAAATGGAAAGGTAATTTTATATTTACTGAATCAAGTTGTGTAATAAATACAATAGGCAAAAAGCTTCAATCACACAATTCAGTTTAACTGAAGTTACAGTAGTGTTTGTAAATACAAGTTTTTAACTTAAAGTTGCAAATATTAAAGCATTGAGAACTAGTATAAAAGTGAATTTTGGCACATTGTAAAATGAGAAGTGTTACATTAGTATCTGACCGTTGTGTAAAAATGAAGTGATTTCTCACTAGCTTTCTGAGGTACATTTTAAGCAATCTAAAATTAGATCAACAACACGGTTCTAACAACTCACAGTTCACAATTCACTATACTAGTTACAATTTTTCCCTTTTAAGAATACCAAAGTATTCCAGAGCTTAAATCTGTGCAAATTCAGAAAAAGTTTCAATTAAAAAATAATCATAAAAACCACTTATTAGGGAACTCTTACATGCAACTTAAATCCTCCCTGCAATCAGTTTTGTTAATTGCAAAGTGTAAAAGTGGACTAATACCAAATTGCACAGCTTAATATAAAATACTCCGAGATTGCAGCGCAGTTCAAGTTGCAAACGTTCCTCTCCTAAGTTTATCACATTTTTCTCCCTATAACTTCAGTAACTTCTGATCACACTCATTCTCGGTGAGGGAAAAAAAAAAAAACCACCACCACAAGCTGCTAACATGAAGGTCAGCAAAGCACGTAAACCCCTTGAGGACTCTCAGCACTTCACGATATCAGAAATGCCTGGACACAAAGTCACTGTTACCAATTTTTTAAAATACAGGAAAAGATAAAGGAACAGTGTAATGGCACTTTTTCTGTATCCAAACATCGGTGGTTTAGAAATGGTGCTTTTTTTTTTTTTTCAGTTTTACAGTAGCTAAAAAAATTTTCAAAACTAGATCCTTAGAATCATCTCAATCCTCACCTCGACTTCAAAAGAGTGAGGAAATCAGATTGCCCTACGGATGGGGTTTGATTCAGTATAAACATCTCTGACCAGAGTACAAAAGTTAACGCTCTTCTCCTAAAAAAAAAGTGCTGCTGATTGTTAGAAGTAACTCCAAAATAATCAGCAACTGCTATGAAACTATCAGCAGCATCAGGCATTTACACATTTTAGTCCTCAAAGAGTTTTCTTTTAAACAGTTTAACCATTTGTGCTAATATTCTTCACTAGGTTAATTTTAAGTCCTTTCACCAAAACCGTTTTTCCTTTAAAAAAAAGAGGGTGCAAGCAATACAACCCACGACATCCATTTATTTTATGCTCCATGAATAAATGGTGTCATCTGCAAGGCACTACTACGTTTAAAGGATACTATTATCACAGTTTCACTATTTCAGTATTTTTTTCTGTTTTAAAGTCACAGTTAAAAATTAAAAAAAAAAGTAATAAATTGAGGTAATCAAATTATTTCAATACCAAAATACAGTAATTGAAATAGTACCAGTATGGTGAAAGGTCTTCATAATACACAGCTATTACCATATAGCATGCAGTACAGTATATAAGTATACTAGGCCTTTGTTCTGAGCTCTTCTGCTTCAGTTTTTAAGGAACAGCTCAATTTGCACCGTAGCACGCCAATTTTCAATACTTATTTCCTTTTCGTTCACAGGGCATCTCACTTGTACTTACAACTCGCTACGCCAACCCCAGATGAATTAACCCTGTCGACATTTGTTTTCGAGAGCTGCACAAATTGGAGTTCTTAAAAAGAGTTCAGCAGAGCAAAATAAGCTACAGTATCTTCATCTATCCTTCCATCAATTGCACTTAAACCTACTGTTATTGACTTACAACTTGAGACAAAGCATCAACGACGTGCCTGTCATCTCAGGCATTGGTATTTCTTCTGACGTTACATAGTCATACCACTAATCTAGAAATATGGCTTTGCAGATTAGATAACTTGTACTGAAAAGGAGCACACCGGGTTTACACTAAGTTTATTGGCAAAGATCTATAATTTGTTAAGAATTTTCTAATGCCCCTTTTTATTGCAGTGTTACAACCAGAATTTTGTACTCTAATAATTCTGGTCTGATAAATAGTTTCATGCAACCAAGTGTACTTAGTTTGTAAACACCCGCTAGCCCCCCAAACGCACTGCTAGCTACGTTTACTCTACCAGGCACTACAGTATATTAAGACTAAAGTATAGCCATGCATAGATAAACTCACGAGCCTTATCATGATGCTCTATACCTGTAACACGGGTTACCCCAGAAAGCCTAGAAACACAAACTAATTGCTGGCTTTTATTGTACTTTAACAGGATACAAGTCGTTTATAAAGTCTCGTGGTGTGCAAAAAAAAAAAAAAAAAAAGAAAAAAAATTTAAAATTCAGAGAGCTTTTTAAATCTAGTAGGAAAGCTAGTAATGAAACCTTATCAACATCTATATCCCAATCTGCAGCACCTGGAATTCCACCTCTGCGCCGTGTAATCACCACGGCACAGGCACTGAGCCAGCTAGTAGCAACGTGTACTGAAAGTCTACCTAAAAGGTGTTTCAGTTTTGGACCAGCTTATTGAAGTTTCAGCTATTTCAGATTCCAAAGGTAAAAAATATATTTCTTAAGTAAGGCATAAAACTATATGTAGCCTCAGGTTTGACGGCAGGAGTTCAATCTCATTTCCCTGCCACAGAAAGAGACATAAGTATTTTAAGTGTACTGTAAGAAATTATTCATTCAATTTCTTACTGCATTACCTACATCTGACCAAAAAGCAACGTTGCAGATGTATTAGAAGACTGAGCTGTTCCTAAGGCAAAGGAATATGGAAATGAAAAATTCCTCCTGGACTGTTTTCACTTGACTAAATTCTGAACACACAGCATGCTACAATAATCTGCTTATGTAAATAAGCTTCAATAATTAAGTTTAAGTAGCTGCTAGGGTACCTTCTAATCCTTCAGTCAGGGATCTATGAAGTTTCACTTAAAATTGTACTAAATTAAGTTAAAGAACAACTTGCCAGAATTCCTATTACGTAACTGTGAAGGTTTTGTTGCAAATACTTAACACCTGGTGTATCAGTTTAGTGAAACATTACAGCATGGAAATTCTTCTGAAAGCTTCATAGACAAGTTCTTTCATATTTCAAGTATATCTTTTGATATTTTTTACCTTTGGAAATAAGTCATTTTCATGAAAAGGAATTCTTTAGCTACAGAATCTCCCTCTTCTCTTTTAGTACTGAAATAAGAATCCTTCAGGGATAATCCTTTAAGCAACAGCAAGTTGCAGATTACTGCCATTCATGTCATATTTTCTAGAATACCAATAACAACACTGGGAAGAAAGCAAGACATCTCCACTTATCTCGTTTCACCCTGAAATGTATAAACATCTTTTCTATAGAGTAACAACACTGGGAAGAAAGCAAGACATCTCCGCTTATCTCGTTTCACCCTGAAATGTATAAACTTCTTTTCTATAGAAAAGTCAAAATTTCAACTGCAGATTCAAACTGTGCAGAGGTTATGAGATATGCTGTCCCCTCAGAAAAAAGTAGATGCCTATGTGTTCCCCCATTTCTCGCTTTGGGAACACCCCAACAGCTGTGGGATTAGGTACTCTTCCGAGTTTTTTAAATATTCCCCAATTTCTCGCTTTGGGAACACCCCAACAGCTGTGGGATTAGGTACTCTTCTGAGTTTTTCAGGTGTTCCCCCATTTCTCGCTTTGGGAACACCCCAACAGCTGTGGGATTAGGTACTCTTCCGAGTCTTTGAAATATTCCCCCATTTCTCGCTTTGGGAACACCCCAACAGCTGTGGGATTAGGTACTCTTCCGAGTCTTTGAAACGTTCCCCCATTTCTCGCTTTGGGAACACCCCAACAGCTGTGGGATTAGGTACTCTTCCGAGTTTTTTAAATATTCCCCAATTTCTCGCTTTGGGAACACCCCAACAGCTGTGGGATTAGGTACTCTTCCGAGTCTTTGAAACGTTCCCCCATTTCTCGCTTTAGGAACGTCCCCCAATCCCACATACTGAAGTATATCACTGCTCATCAATGCTCCTGTGCAACGAATTTCCAGGGACATCCAGAGATTAAAGTGGTTTGATTATCTGCACAACAGACCAATTCCATGATCACATTCTGACCTGCTAAGAAATATAGTTTTGCTTCTTTTCTTCTTCTTTTAAATAAGTTTCCACTACTAGTCAGAGATTCCAGGTGATGCTTTTTACAGTCTGGAATTAAGGTGAAGTGGAAGCAAACCTGACAGTACAAACAGCTAAGCAGTTACCTTATTAAAATGCCAACCTTACAGGAATGATCTCTTAGTTTTAAAAAAGTGCTGAAAACTGACATTTCACTTAATTTTCTAGTAAACCAGCAAGGACAACAGCATTTTTGGTTACTGACAGTAGGTGGGGTTCAGAAATGCACAGAACGCATGTGCTTATGTCTTCTGCTCAAAGAGATCATGATACTCTTGTTCTTCTAGTTCTCTGTTGTACTTCTCTATTTCCCTGTTGGCTTCTTCCAAGTAATCGTTCATGAATTGGTCCATTACTGATTTTGAAAAACTAAGGAAAAACATTTGTGCTAATAGTGTTCATTAGAGAAGAGCATACATGTTTGAAGGATGTGCCAGTTCAGGGAGACTTACAGAAAGCAGAAATTCAATATACTATCTTCTGGCAGCCCCGCAGTCAGACCTAACCACAGCTACTCTGTAGTAGTGGGGAATAAAGGAGTTGCACAATAGCCATTTCCCAATCACAAGGAAAAATATAAGAACAGCAAAACTACAGCAGGTTTGCAGATGTTTACAGCTATTTTGGTTAAGTCTAAAGAACTCTGCCCAAAATTCAAATCACCCAGAAGCGGTTAACCAGTGCCTGTATCTTTTCGAGCCCAACACCAAGATGGTGGTGACCTGAAGGTCCAGTGAATACTGAAGTCCAAGTTTGCTGTTAGGCTATTTCCTGCCACTATACCCTAACTAGGAGCTTACCCTGCAGACAGAAGTCTGCTGGTTTCAAATGTTAAAGTTGTCCCATCGGGCATAGAAAATAACTCTTTGTTCTTATTCCAAAACAGAATCACAGACCCACTTGGGTTTTTGTAAAGTCTGTCAAAGTTAAAGTAAAAAGTAAACTAGGCATATAAAACCAAATTTAAAATTTCGGTAGTAAAACAAAGACAAAAAGCAATAGAAAGTTATGAAAACAAGAAGAACAAGAATACACTGGAACATCAGTATTACTCTGGCGGTTCTTGCCAAAGACAAAAATACGATCAGGTTTAAATTAAAAAATAAAAATAATCTCTGGAAAGAAATCCAGAGGACCTGGATTTGTAGTCCATGTTCTATAACTGATATCAAACAAGACCAGCCAGGACAGTACATTTACAAATCTGTATATGCCACAATTTGGTAAGTAAATCATATTGCTTGCTAAGCTGAAGTAGTTTTAAAATAAGGTTTTACTTGCTTAAGGGAATTTAAAAAGCAATTACAAAAAAATATACCTCCACACCTAATTCTGGACACCTTGTACATATTACTATGTTGCATCCAATACATTTTTTTTCTCATACAGAGTTACAAAATGAGAGCAATCATTTAACATCAGCTTCACCACAAAGATATGCGGCAGAAAAAAGGACACTGTAATAAAGTCTGAAACACCCCTGATTGTTCTTACTTGAGTGTGTGCACGCACATGCATGCACACAAAATTATATTCATTTGGAAGTTTTATCAGTCACGACCAGGCATTAAGCAATATTACAGCGCTACTTGGTTTGCAAAATATTTCTCTGACAAGCTGTGGTCCATAAATTACTCTCTGCGTGAGCTCATGTACAGTTTGGGGATTGTTTTGTTGGTTCTATTCTGCTTCTTAGATCATATCTCTGAAAAAAGTGTTTTAACAGTAAGCTTTCAATGGCAAGTAGCCATGCACAGATTTAAGGAACGAAACTTTTCACTTCATATTACTACCTGCAAATCAAACTGGTTCTTCACCGTATCATCTCCTCTGACAGTCTACGTTTCAGATGTGCATAGCCCGTTGCCTGCCTAAAACCTTCACCAAAAAAATCCACATTTTAAAGGATACATGGATGGTAATCCATTTTGTCACCAAAAAAATTCACAAATTGAGTCCCGTTGTAAAAATAACCAGCTGGAAGTGGATCCAAGTGGCGTTTCACCTACATTAAGAAAGAATATATCATACATTAAGCATTTAAAACTCAAAACTGCTTAGAGACAGTCCTAACAGATAAAAAGAAAAATTCTTTCTCCTGAACTTAGCAGCCAGGAACGTATGGCTCCTGGCTACGAAGGAGCACTCTGAGAGGACAGCACGATCCTACGACGTCCACGTAGACTAGTGGAGTTAGTTATGGCAACACTAGTTGGGCAATAACTAGCCCAACTCCAGAGAGAGCACTTACAACCTCAAGGTAGTCGATGAGGGCAGGATTAGGCATTTGGGATCCCAATTTGCAAGTGGCAACCTGCACACCACAGACCAGGGAGAAAAGGTGGGGAAAGACCATTACAGTAACTAAAAGTGTGTGCTTGTTCAATACCACACACCTCCCCCTGCGTTTCTGAAGCCCTGAGTTAACACCAAGAGTTATCTCACAAATCCCTCCTGGACAGCCTCAGTTATGTTTCGGGTATATAAAAAGCCAGTAAGTGCCACAATAATTTAGTGCTCAGCACACTTGTTATGGCAAGTATGGGAGGTGCTTTATCATACAAATGGTTATTCTAAAAAATCAGCCAAAGGAAGGACTTGCTATTAATCACTTCTACTTACGTGAATGTTTTTTATTTCCTGAAGGGTTAGCATTCCTCTGGTTTTCAGGGCTTTCCTCTGAGGTTTCTGTATGAAGAATTAGACCCTAGTTATACACCTACTGAGTGACAATGTGATACTACAGTTTAGTTATGTTAAGAAAAACAAACAAGCCAAACCACAAAAGTTCCTTCTTGAAAATGTGGATAATGGTAGTGAAATCTATAATCACATGCCATCATGCCCAAGCCCAACACAGAAATACTCCTTTTAGAAGCATGTATTTTAAAAATTAATTTACAGACAGAATTATTCAATTGTATTAAGGCACTCGCAACAATGTTCTGTAAAGAAAAGTAAAAATTAAGTGATTTCACATAAGGCACTGATACAAATAACAAATTCTAAAAGTATTTTAAATAATACAATTTAAATACAGCTCTACTGCAAAAAAAAAAAAAAAAGAAAATTGGCAGAGCAACAGGAAAAACAATCTAGTTTTAGTCTGAAAAGTTTTATAATTCATTTCTTTCATGCAGCATGCAGTAATGCTTAGGACAATCTGAAACCCTAAAAAGCCACGACTGACTAGTAAGACTGTACAAAGACTATTTGTAGTCTTGAACTGCTCAGAGGAAGCACTTCACACTTGACATAGCATTTAAGTTCCAAGTTTTCATAAAATTAAAATAGTATTCCACAGAGTGCTTTCTCACATGTCAAAAGCATTTGTCTCCATATGTTACCCATGTGATATGCACAGAGCATGAGATACCACCACGCAAAATGTATACTTCCCTGAAGTAACACAACCTGCTAGGAGAATAGAGGTGAGAACCTGAAGATCCTTAGAAACAGCTCCAACAATGGACTGTAGGAAACTTCTTTCCCTTCCTACACAACTTTTTGGAGATACTATGCAAATTCTAATCCATGAAGAAGTAACCACAAGTATTTTTAACTAACAAACGTTCCAAAATGGGCATCATGAAAGAGCACAGTTGTACCTATAGGCTCAAGTTCCAACTAGAGTGCTAAAATATGCAACTTGTATGGTTGAACAGTTTCTGTCCAAGTATGTTTCTGAATCAAACCTCAAGACTCACTTCCTAAGACCTTGATATGCAGCCTGGTAAAAGTAATACCTGCTGGTATTATTGGTTATATAGCAGTGAACCATCTTGTCCTGCACTCCTGGCCAGGTCGGGCCAGTCACTGTGCAAAATTAGCAAGACACCACAGCTGCAAAACATGCCTTCTAGGCTTCTTATGATGTGCGTCTTCCCTGTTCCCTACGCCAACTTCTAATCCATAGGTATGTAGCCATGCAGAAATACGTGAAGTCTTATATAGCTGCGCACTTGACGAATTAAGCAAGACAGAATGAAAAAACTATACCCTCCATTTCAGTGGATTACTTCCAAGGAGGTTTAATTTAGTGAATCAAAACATGTTTTCAGCTTTGCAGTGTTCAGGTACTTCAAGAAGATTTATTCCATACTACACTTTAGCTTTTGGCAATCATGTCTCAGCTAAATCATCTTGTGTTTATTGTGGACGTACTCCATTTGCTCAAGCATTCAAGAGCAGATCAATCCATGAATAAGCTGTAGCAGATATTAAAACAATACACAAGTTACAATACATATTTGAAAACTGTTAGTCCTCTGTCATAAATACATTTACACCCTGGAACGCTCATACCTTGGTAGAAGAGAAAAGAGATTAACAACAACAAAAAAAACCCAACCCACTCAAAAAAGTTTCATGAGACACTCTGATTCCTCCTGTTGTTAAGAAATGCCAAACAGATCACACTGAACAAAAGTAAACATGCCCACGAACCTGTTTTGCCGTTTCTCTGAGCCAGTCTTTTATATCCTCTTCCTTAAGGGAGCAGCCAACGAACACAAGGAAGCACTCCTGTTGACTGCTGCAATCTCTGCTATCGCTTCTTGAATCAGGAGGAGTTGGCCCCTCCTGAACAGGCACAAGGCTTAGTGAATTAGATGATGTGTTGTGACAGACTTCAATCATTTTATCAGAATCTAACAAGGAGAAGACAGAAGAAAGAAACGTCCTGATAATTGCTAATCTAATTTAACATCAACACGTTGGTGTAGACAGAATACAGTACATTAAAAAGTTTCCAAACACATCAGTGCAGCGCAATCACAAGACAATGCATAAGCAGTAATTTGCCCTTACCTGAAAACTTAACTTTGCCCATGATGTGATAAATGTTTCCAGAAAAAGGACTTGGCTTGAGCAATGACTTAATCGCTGTTTGAAATAAAGACAAACAGATTATCTCACTTATTGTTCTTTTCCTTGGTGTAGCTTCTGGTCAGACCTATGCTACAGGTCTCTAATCCACATCCTAGTGCTTCAGGGGAAAAAGCTGCAGTGTCCCCAGGAGCCCCACTACATAACATTTCTCTATGTTCTCATTTCTTTGCTATGGGGTAGGTGGGAAATAACATGTGTTTGGCATAATGAACGCTTACAGTGTGTGTGGAAAGTAAAATGGTGCTCCTTAACACTGTTTTGCTAAGGAAAGAAGGAAAGGCATGATTATATATCTACTCTAGTAGCCTAACACAGAGTTGAGCCTATTTTCTACTAACTACAAAGAATTGTTTGGCATAAAAAGTAGAAGCTGATGGTTACTTATAAACTGTATTTCGACACTACTAAATAAAATTAAACATAAAATAAAAAGCAAACATATGAAGATAAGTGTCTCAGTCTCTAGAAACCAAAAATTAAATTAGATTTTCATTTGAACAAAATTATGGGTTAATTTTCCAGAGCAGACACTAAAGAAGACAATTTACTGTACTTTAAGGAAGGAAAGCTGATTTTTCAATTAAAAGTTTACTTCAGCAGTAATTAAATAACTGTGCTACGTCAGTGCCTTCCTTCCCCTCTATTCCTCAGTATGTCAAACTTGGATTTAAATCAAGTCAGTCAAAGTTCAGTTGTACCTTTACATTTGGTCACAAATCGCGTTTTTTCTAGAGGACGATTAAACCATACACAGATCTGAACCATTGGAGGGAAGACAGACCCAGCTCCATATTTACCTTCATACCTTAAGACAAAAAACAAACACATAGCTTCAACACACAGGAAATGCACATGCTTGTGCTTTTCATCTAACAGGCTTCTTAAAAAGAACATCTATTATTTCACCACAGGTAAGTCTCACTCATAGGAAGAAAAATACTAAGCTTTCTTCTCCAAGACATCCATGAAAATGTGGTATTAACGGTATTAGGTTGTTCAAAGAGCTCAAGACTTCTTTTGATGATGTTCTTGCTGCAATTCTTTTTTCTTACATACTATTACATACTATTCTTGCATACTATCATCAAATAGATTAACAGCTGTCCAAAAGTTTTAAATACTTTCTTTTCCTGCTTCCTCTCTCTACCTTTGGCTTCACGCAAACCACGAGCAGCTCTGATGTCCCAAGCTTTGTGCCAGGTTACTTTAGAAGCTTTACTTGCATCCAATTTAGAACAAGAATTATGAATAAAAAGATATACACACAGAGAGGACTGGCAAGGTATGGTAAATAAATTGTGCTTCCAACACCATAAATGTAACTAGAAAACAGTCAGCCAGGAGTTATAATGGCTGACAGGTTTACATTTTCTGCCAAATAGGTGCAGCACAGATAACTGCAACAAGATGTGTAAAGAACCCTGAACCATGAAAAATATCCCTTAGTATTAAGTAGAAAGCTTGGTACCATGTATTACTGTGCCTTCAGTCTCTGCCAAGACTGTCAATAAGGTTGTTGGTTGTTATGAATAATTGTGCTGCTAATAGCCAGACTGACATAGCAAGTTCATTCCAGTAAGGCTGAATAGCTGTCAGAATGAAATTACTCTAGTCATTATTGACCTCACCCATCCCAATCCTTCCCAGCTTATTCCCAGAGGGTTTTTTTTCTATTCTTCTGAAAAGCAACAGTAATCTTGCCATTGATTTAAATGGTGTCCAGAAAGGATCCTTTTCCCCATAAAAGGACAGCAATCGTGTATCTACTAAGAATACTCATCAGCTCTCTTTTAAAAATGATTTACAAAGCTATTGCCTGTTCCAAATGAGTAGTCTTGAAAAAAATATAAATTAAGTTAGCGAGACTTTTGAATCTTCAAGTTAATTAGAAAAATAGTTTTAATATTTCTCAGTCTAGATACTTGCCAGCCAGGATACATTAAATATCGAGCTCTCATCATCTGAGGATTTGAAAAACTGCTTTCTGAGAGAATTAATTCAATATCCTCATTCCTATAAAGAGATAAAGATGAAGATTTTTATAAGTTCAATAAAATGGTCACTATCCGTATGCTACTTACATAAAACAGAATGCTAGTCATGGTAAAATTAAGAGTATTGTTCCCTTACTATGACAGTAATGGTAACATAAGTCATACTCTGCAAACAAAAGCATACATTTCCTAATCCCCATATTTATACGGCCATAAATGTAAAGGTAAGATGTCTTTTGCATGAGAAACAATTAAGAAGAATCTGCATCTCCTTTGTATAAGTTACCAGCGTAAAACAAGAGAATACAAGTTTCTAAGTGCATGTGTCCCACCTGCCAAAAGTGACGAGTACTGGACAGCGACTAACATTACCTAGTCACAACTCCATTTTCTGCCAAGATGAATGAAACAGCAGGATTTGCCGCTCGGATAAGGCTCTGCAGCTGCCTAAGGAGTGGATGCTTCTGCTCCGTAGCATGGCTTGTGAAAACTACGTTACTCACTAGTCCTGTGTAAGGAAATCAGAGGATAGTTTACAGAAGACAACAGTATGCAACAGTGAACAATAAACAATTAATATAACCACCCTTCTCAATTTTCCTTCCATCTCACTACATTAACATTCCTAAGGAAAAAATAAAACAAAACACACAAAAACAAACAAGCAAGGAGCCTTTCGTCTCTTGCCTGCCCAGCAAAAACCCAGAAGCCCATCTAACTTAACACACGAACAATGTGGAATAACCAAACGCAGAATTATCGTTAACTATTTATTCTGTAACTGCATTTAGAGGGCAGCCAGCTCAGAAGCCCATTCTGTCACAACCCGTAGACGCGCAGGAATGATACCTCCCGAAGGAGACAACCCTTTTCAGTCACTGCAATGACTCGAGGGGAAAGAGGCAGAATGTTGTAATCTGTGGGTTCGCATGATTCAGTGAAAACAATCTTACAAAAAAAAAAAAAAAAAAAATTTAAAAACACGAGCCTACCAGTACAGCTCCAGTCACTGAAGATGACTCGACTAATGAGGAAGGCCTGCTTTGCCAAAACAGCTATAACAGGTCAAGACATTTTTCTTTCAATTAGGCCATGTAATGGAAGTAATTTAGACTCCATTAATCAAAAGAATAAATTAATTAAAAGAATAAATTCATACAAGAATCAGTTTGAGAAGGACTAGTTTAATAAAAAATACTAACATTTAAAGCCTTTTGGCAAATTCAATGTGTAGAAAGATAGGCCAAACAGCTAAAAATCAGTATTTTTGGATACTTCCAAAAGCAAGAGAAGGGTTTGGGTTGGGTTGTTTTGACTCTGTCTTTAAAGAAAGACCCCAAAATGGTATTCCAACAACAAGCCTGAACCCTCAAGGCATCAAAAAAGATAACAGAGAGAAATAATAGGATAACTACTTCTCCCGAGCCCAGATTCCCAAAAAGACTCAGCTGTGTCACCAGAAAAGCAATTCCTTTTTCAGACTTAAAATATCCCTTCACCTCGTACCTAGTGCCACTGATTTCACTCAAGAAGCAGTTACTCTTCTTAAGCAAAAACTTTCCAAGATTTGAAGACGACAACAGAGTCTTCGCGTTACCCCTGCTGTCTTGTCAGGTATGAGACAAGTTTCATGTTAAATGAGAACATACTGCTGCTACTGCAGACGCCTCTGAAGGCAATCAGAAATAACACACCGACCATCGCAGCCACCAAGTCTTGGGCACTGGAAGGGATTTCTTTAAGGAAAAAATGTGAGATGACATATCGCACTTATCATCCAACTTATTTCAGTGTTACAGGATCTCTGCTTTCCAATTATATCAAGGAGGAGTTACATCAGAATGAATTTCAGCCCAGTTCCTCAAAGAGATTGCAGTGCCAACTCTTCAGGGCTCCCTAGCATGTCACTATTGTCCGAAAAGTGTAAGGAATGCTATTTTCTTTGCTCTAGGTGTGCAGCTCATTTCAGACACTTTCCTGTAACTACAAATAGAGTGTAAGACAGAACAGTAAACTCTAGAATATCCATGAACAATTGAACCAGGATGCATTTCCTCTGCCCCCAACTCATCACTATTTAAAGCAGAATATGTAATGAAGCTCACACCATGAACTGCTGCCTACAGTTATTCCTGATCTTTACGGAAGTCTTTAAAGCACACTAATCCTCGCAGAGGCTTCTTTACACAGACATTTCTATACCAAATGTTTCTGGGCTACTTACATTATACCATATGCTCCCAGTCACAGTTACTTGCATCACTGACCCTTTCAAGTTAGAATTTTAATAATAGCCCAAGCAAATTTCCATCATTAGCGTTTCTCTTTTTAATCCCCCACAGAAGTTTCCATTCCTATTTCAAAAACATTTAAGTTTTCTCCAACACACAGTTACTCTTGAGAGAGACTGGGGGGGGGAGAACAGCAAGCACACTTAGAAATTTAAGTCAAATGCATGCTTGAAATTATTATGTAGATCATGCAATTAAGATGAAAAGTATGAATAAGCTAATCAATAACCACCACATTGTGAGTTTTTTTCTTAATATTCCCAAACTTGATATGAACTTAAAAGTGAAGTTTAATTAAAAACAGTTATACTCGTTCTGTGAGGTTGGCACAGAACAATAAAAAAGGATGTATAACATAAATGCTACGAAGCATATATTAGTTAGAAGCACCATGCTATGGAGAGAATAGGTAATTGTCAAAGACTAAGCTGGCAAAGCTTCAGGTTAAGAAGAGAGAGATTCAAAGAATAAAATATCCAGCAAATCAGAAACCTATGCATCTTGTCTCACGCTCCTCATCCATACTCTTTCGCCATCACTCCCTGCTTCATTTGCGCTTGTCTAAGGGGAACAGCTTTCAGGCACTAGCTGTCATTCTTGCTTGTAAACTCCCACGCAACCTTGGAAGTAACAGAAGACTGCTCAGAGCCTGAGGAGCCTGGAAGCGTTGGCTCTGCACACACCTATGCATAAATCTTGTAGGTGCCAGTATACCACAAAAATTGGCCCTGTGTTAACAGGCAACAGTCCCTGATACTGAACTGACTGACAGGTAGTGTAATCCAGAAGAAAAATAGCTTTCTAAGAACTGGAAGATGCCTACACAGCTTTAGTAACTAATAATGTTGACCTTTTCTATTTGAATTGTCACTGCCATCTCTCTTTCTATTGCATTTTGAAGACCCCCCAGTTTTGTTTAATTCTTTATTTATGCACTCATCTAAAGACAGAAAATAATACCTTTGTAGCCTGGGGAATAGCATGCTCAATAGAAGCGGCAAAGAAACAGGAGGGATAGATTAACAATATGTATGCTTTACAAAAATAATGGATCCTTTTTGCTCCGAAACATACAATGGGCATATTTAACAATGGCGATGTCTTAATATGTAAAACAACGTTATATACAACACAAAAGATGCCAATATGTCCTTAGACTAGTAAGGTGTCATCTTACAGCTTCTGTGCAAGAAATAAAACAAAGAGAGGGATACTTGGAAGGAGTGAGACAAAAGGAAATTATAGCACACAGATGGTGGCAAGATTTTTTTTTAAAGTTTAAACAAGCATGCAAGGGAGAGAGAAAACAAAACCGTGAACGTTGGTCACTCTGCTCAAGGCTTTATCAGTTCTCTCTGATCTTCCTCTGTTTCTGTTAGTCTTGTGGCTTTCCAAGCAGAAAGCATCTTGTCATGTTGTCAAATGATATCATGTTGATAATATGCATAGGTACCTTCTCATTTCATTTAATATCTTTATCAATGATCTGGATGTGGGGATCGAGTGCACCC